AACGTTTCGTCCCCAGTCGAGGAGACCTCGTCGGTGCGCAGCATTCAACTGCGCACCGACGAGGTCTCCTCGACTGGGGACGAAACGTTTGCAAGCCAATTGCCAAGCTCGGCGAACAGATCAACTGCCATCCGATCAGCCACCAGTTTCATTCACTGTCCAAACAACTTCTGAGCACGGGCCCTTATTTGGCTAAATATCGGTGCGGCGATACTAGCGAAGACGTACTTGGGATGGGCAGAGGAGCAGTTCGGAATCACCCAATGTCTGTTGGTTTTTAGTCTCTCCCCGACCTTATGTGCTATGCAGTCCAAGAAGGAGTCCAAGGAGAAGTTGGCTCTACCTCCACACTAATTTTGATGTGTGGATTCAAGTCACTGAGATAGTTGTAAAACTCATTAAACTTGCCCGGCTTCATCACGACGAAAGCTTTATCCACTTAATGTTTAATCCACTTAATATAGTGGGTGAATATGGGAATCCGGATAAAGCTCTCTTTTCAAAATCTTCGATGAAAATGTTTGCCACAACTGGGGACATTGGAGATCCGTTTGCTAGACCTAGTTCGTGAATCTAAACCACGAAGTAAAACAACGAAATGTGTGAGACTCATGCGTGATTGTATACCTTCCATTATTTCATCTACCGTAAGCTGTGTCCAATCTGAAAGATTGGTGTCCACTAGCAGCAGTCACTTTGCTGTTTCTAAAGAGTCTCCGTTTGGTGCGCTTGTATGTATTGTCTACCGAGCCCTTATGGAACGATCGCTTCTCATCTGGTTCTAAACTTCTTCCAGTTGACTGAAACTAACTTGACTCTTTTCAGATAGGCTTAGATCGTTAGTCAAACTTCACACTTTCTGCAGTCAGACTGGAAGGCCCTTTCTACGACTGATTGGGAATTAAGCTAGAGAAAAAAGATAGTCCTGTCTCAATCCGATTTGATAGAAAATCCTCATGTGCAATCGAAACTGTACTATACTTCAAAACGATACACCGTAACTCACTGTAATAACCTGGGTTAGTGGTTTTTTGGTGGTGCTGCCAGGCATTTGGGACTGTGCTAAAAGATGAGCAAAGATATCAGCTTGAACGTAGTGGGATCTTTCATCAGCACCTATAGATGCAAGTTACTTTTCCAGTTTAGATACGGAGCTTACCTCCAAAGGAGATGACTCGGTTGCATAAGGGACGAAGCGTGCGCAAAATCCACTCTCAAGATAAGACGGTATTTTCTTCAGAATATTGCGAATGCATCTAAATTTCGTTTTCCGAAAGTGTCTTAAGTTCACTCCGAAAATTTTCCTGAAAAACATCGTTGTCCTCCTAATCACAAGGTCCAATTTGAGCAATCACGCTTACTTTGGTAACATTTTCCCGATATTCCGGGTGTGGCTACTGAAATGGAGTTTGGCTGTATATACATCTACACATGTAAAACTAAAAGTAACCAATTTGTTCAGAATAAGTGCTTGTAGACAAGAAAAGTATTACCTTTCTTACTGCTTTGTTTCAATTCAATTCAATTCGAGCTAGAAAAATCCATTCGTCCATCTCGTCTAGTTACATGTTAGGCTCTTGGATTTGGTATCCGTAACTAGATAAAACCAACTGCTCCCATCTGGCCACGGAACAAGTAAAAAACGATACAACTTTCGTATCCCGTAAACAAATCGGAGTTCTGACTTTTTGAATCAATGTAGGTTCATTGATTACGAATGGAATGATCTCAATGTGGTCTGAACTTTTCAGACTAACTGACCATGGATATTAGATGAGACGGATAATAAACAAGGTAGTAGCTTTAGCTAACTGAACAAAACGTTGTTCATTCATCTGCCCGCCATATGCTACACAGATCGCTTTGATCGAAGACACGCACTACAATTAGGAAAAAGACTTTGATTTTTATCCGTAAAAACTCCATTCTCACGGGTTTGTGAATGTCACGCCCGTACCGGACAGCTCTGACTGACCGCTTCAGCAGTCAAATTCCTGGGCAATTTCAAAGCACGCGCTAAATCAACAAAAAACATTTGAAGACGTGCTTTTATCATTTAGCCTTCAGAAAAGATTCGAATGAGGTGGGCTAAAATGGACTAACGTAATAATCAAGAGGTATGATTTTTTCTTGAAAAGAAGTCACAGTAATAATTTAGCCCCTGGTGACAACACTGAGAAGTGTGCAAGTGACCATGTACATAACAAATTATTTTTTTGAAGGCAACTACTCATAAGCTTCCTGAAGTCCCTTCGACAGCAGACGGTTTCACCACTGTCAAGGATCATAAGATAGGTGAGATCCCATCAACTTTATCTTTTACTTGAACCAAAATTGTACGAGACTGAACGAGGAATATGACAAACGAGAGATTCAGTCGGGTTTCAGTTGAGTCTCTCGTTGAAACGAGAGGATACTTTGAAAAAGCGTTTTTATATTTATGCCGTACTATGGGCTGGGTTTTTTTATTTAGGGTAGACCTTCAGTTCCACAACTTGTTCTCTTATTACGTAATAATCGACCAGTTGAATTTTTGAGATTGTTGTTAGTGTTGCTTGTGTTTTTAGCGTATGTATGTATATATACGCCAATATGAGTGCATAAGAATGGAACCATTATAGACAGTTTCCCTGCGCAGAATATTGCACCACGGTGATCTACTGACACCACTGCAGGTGCAGGTTGTCTTCTGTCCGATTAGCTGATTCAGGGAGGTGGATTTCGCCCAAAATATGTCTTTAAATAGTTCACTAATGGGGGCCTCTGACATTGTCGACTCCGGTGGAGCAGTAAGTGTCATCGACTTGTGACGGGCTCAAAGAAAGCAAAGGGTGCAGTCAGTTGAAAGAAGCGAATAATAAACTGGAAAGTTGACTTGAAAATTTTTTAATTCTATGGTTGCAATGTTATCTTTCTACGGGTTAATACGAAACAAGGTAATGCCACCTTCGTAGTGTAATTCAGGAGAGAAAGTTCTGCCTAAATGGCCTACCTTATCTACGCAGGAATTGGAAAAACGAAGGGTAAAGCAAAACATTGCATTCAGCGAATGGAATAACTGTATCTGTATATGGGATAGAAACACTTTCCATTGTTGTGAGTAATTTCTGTAAATTCACCTCACATATTCTCAATTATTCATTCCTATTCTTCTGACTTCCATGCAAGTAAACGTAAACCCACAAGGCTTTAGTGTAGAGATCCCAGTACTGAGTAGCGAGTAAGCAGACAATCCTTCTACAAAAGACGTTAAGATGACTACTTTATACTTCCTCCAGATTTATTATCACACTTGCGTAAAGTTCTTGAAAATACCAGAAGGCTCTGGGGACTAATCGACTAGGAGCAGTACCTGATGATTTGTTTTAACGTCTTTCCTCAGCAGAATGAAAAATATTTTATCTTAGGTTTACCCGTTTGCACGTAAATGAGTTCGTAAATCAGAAAAAAAAACTCAGACACAGATAGAAAGCTTTTGTAGCAGAGGATAGCTGAATTACACATAACTTAATCATGAATTGAGACGGAACGTTTGACGTTTTTTTTCTCAGTTTAAAATAACATCAACGGTGGGTTTTGTACACCACCTAAGGGTTGGGTTGAAACAAAGATGTAGCGGGATGAAATGACTTGATATTCATCGGGTTCCTGATGAATACTTTTTCTTCAATCTGTACGCAAGAATTCATCTCTTTAGCAAACTTAGCTCATTCATTTGGTCTTGTTTGTTCGAAATTTCCATTGGCTATCGTTCTCCAAGTGAAGTCAAGCTAGAGAGAAAAGCCGTGAAGTACTTCACAGATATTTCACGCTTACTAAGTGGCCGTAAGCGGTGCAAGCTCACGAAGTACCAGGGCAGTTCGCATCCTTTACATCCCGACGAACCATCTGGCTGATCACAGTGCGATAAATTGTCACTCACACTTACATGCCGAGAAGTCCACATTGTGAATTCAACTACTATTTACGGCGCGAAATTTTTTCCAAAATAATTCAGTACTATCTCTTCTAAAGTAAATACGCTACTGTCGGAATCCATGAATGTCCCAGGTTCGTAAGCATTGTTTCTGTCTGTGGCTACCAGCCACGGAATCAGGAGAGTCATTGGTCACTCTTCCCTTAAGTGGCATTATGTTGAAATGAATTTAAACGAATTACAGTTAGTTACTTATTACATGGTGCTAAATGGACTGGAGGCTCATTAGATTTTATCCACATCTTTCTGAGCTCAACCGCCTGAAATTTGCAGAGCAAAGTAAAAGGATACCACTCGTTGGAATGAGATGAGCCGATCCATACCTGATGAACTTACGGCAATGATATGCCCGCAGCATCCCTTCAATTTACTGTTAAGATTTCAGGGATCACTGAAGGAATAAAGGAGGTCTACTGGGCTTGCGGAATAAATATCCTGATATTTCTTGTTCAGCCTTCTGTAAGTCGGCTGGCCGAATGACAGAGTCCAGTGTAAGCTTGTCGTTTTACTCGAATAATTGGTAGGGACTCCTTGCGTGGCTGCTATTTTGGCACCCAATGGCTGGGTGTGTGAACTGAGTATAACCTTGTAAGTATTTCAATTATCGGCATTTGCATCGTTAGACATATGCATGTGCCTCTCTGACTCTCCCAGCATATTTTCGGTTGGATAAATGAGCTGAATGCAACCCGAACACTGGCTCAGTTGGTAAAAACGGTATCTCCAGTATAGCTCATGAAAAGTGATTTTGGATCATGCGAAAGCATTTTGAAGGTTTGAGACAATCTAAAAAAGAAGTTCAGTTCCAGTAATAATGAAAATTATGGGGGATGTAGTTATAACAGAAACCGAACCAACACTATACCCAGGAAAACTTTATGGAAGCCGAGATTAAGAGACAGCAATAGTTTACAAACGATAATACTGTATTGCTAAAGATGATACTTAGCCGTTAACTTCGGATCTCAACACACAATTGCAATTTGGTCGGCTTTCCAGAAAGACATATGTGAAGCTCTGAGCTTCCAAACTACAACATGTTGAGAAATGCCTAGTAGAGGCTTAGTTTCTTGGTGGTTATTTTGGGAAAAAACACCGAGGTGCTGGGTAGGTGCAGTTTCACCTCATCCACTCATGTGAAGCCAGGAGAGCCGCTGTTAGCGTGGACCGTCTATT